AGTGTAGTTAAACTAATAAATTACGTGGATGGTCAAGATATGATGAAAAACAATCATGTATAACTGTCGCGTGCCAAATGAAGGTGGAGTTGCAATTTGAACACTGCAAGTTTACGCCTGGCCCCCGGCCATGTTACTCCGATGTTACTAGAGACAGCGTAATGCAAAACGTGCTAGTGCAAGTGTTTTATTCTAAACGGATTACATAGGTTAGAACTTTGATATATATTCCCTCGGAATCTTACCGCAGTCTTTCCTCCTACGGCCTTCAAACTCACGACAATAATGAGCTTAACATTTAAGTAATGGCGGCAACAAGCCAAATACAGTGTGCCCGTACATTCGGATGGCAAATACACATACTTTCAGAATATACTTAATACTAAACAATCGATAAATTAATTCGTCCCGCAACATCCCCGCCCCCGTGAAGGCCCTGCTTCACTCACATCCAGTATGGCTAGTTTAGCCACGGGACGAGTCATCAGTCGCACTCGGTTGTTGTCCGCCACGCGGATGCTGGCGCGTCGAGGCACTCCATCTGGTCCAGGGTAGAGCTCCTCCACTATGCCCCTTCGCCACTCTCTGCGTGGCACGGACGGCTCGCATATAAACACCATATCACCATGGCGTATCGGCTCAACGCGCGCACACCATTTCACGCGTCGCACAAGTGTAGGCAGGTACTCTAAGACCCACCGCTTCCAAAAACGGTCTCGTAACAGCCGCGCCATGCGCCACTGCTTCCTCGTGACGCATCTCTCGTTCGGCTGCTCGTGGATAGCGGGCGTGTCAGGCAGATTGGCCACTCCTTTGAGTAGATCGTTCGGTGTTAGGGGGGCTTCTTGGTCCACAGACACCGGCAAGTGGGTAAGCGGGCGAGAATTCACAACGTTCTCGGCCCCAATCAGGAAACTCTCCAGTACGTGTTGCTTTGGTGCCACTTCCTTTACTGTGTGGCGTAGCACTCTCTTGACACACTGCACCATCCTTTCCCAGGCTCCCCCTTCAGCTGGGTTCGCTGGGCAGTTGAAGATCCATTCAATGCCTCTAGAAGATAACTCACCCTGAATCTTCTCCGGCTCGAATACATCTATTAGCCTTTTGGCTTCTCTGTTGGCCCCAACAAAGTTCTTTCCGTTGTCACTGCGCAACCTCAGTACAGGTCCGCGACGGCAAAGAAAGTTCCTGATTACGATTATACAGGAATCAGTTGACAGGTCATGTGCCAGCTCCAAATATATGGCCCTTGTCGTCAGACACGTAAACAAGGCGACCCATCTCTTTTTCTTTCGACGTCCGATCGTCACAAGGAGTGGTCCAAAATAGTCCAGACCCGTAAACTTAAATGGCCATCCATTGGCCTCCAGTCTGTCCTCTGGCAAAGGACCCATTATAGGTGGCGCTGGCTGCGCTCTATGAAGTTTGCACACACAACATCCAGATATTACTGTACGCAACAGTCGACGCAGCTTTGTTATCCAAAATCTGGTCCTGATGTCACCTATCGTTGCATCCACGTTTTGATGCTTCATTTTCACATGGTAGTGATACACAATCAGTTCCGTCAGTGCGTGCCGGTGTGACAATATTATTGGCCTTCTCGCACTATGCGGTATACACAGTGCGGCATCGATCCTGCCATACGCACGCAAGACTCCATTGTCATCCAAGTATGGCGCCAGCCCTCTTATGTCGCTTCGATGACCGACTGATTCTTCATTGTATGAGGCTCGAACCTCGTCAGGGAACGCTTCGCATTGCGCTCGCCGTATCAGTAAGTTCTCAGCGTTCTCACACTCCGTCGCGGTGAGGCCGAATCTCTCAAGCTCAGTCCTCTGTCCACGGCTCCAGCGCGTGAACCTTAAAACCCAAGCCGTCGTCCTCACCAGCCGACTGTAGCTAGAGAATCTCTGAAATGAAATGAAAAAGCTATTTGCTGCAACTAAGGCAAATTCACTCGGCATCTCTTCTTCATCTTCGTAGGATGAGTGTTCCGTGCCCGGTTCGGACTGCGGCCAGCTGCTTTCTGGCTGCCGCAAAAATGTTGGCCCGTCTAACCATCGTGACCGATGGCTGAGGTCTACGTGGCAATGCGGCCTCGTTGCGTCGTCTGCTGCATTTTCAGCAGTAGGTACCCATCTCCATTGGGAAACCTTTGTTGACTCCAAAATTTCTCCCACTCGATTTCCGACGAACTGCTTATATCGACGGTGGGTGCTGCCTATCCAACGCAGCACAGTTTTGGAGTCAGTCCATAGTATAGCGTCGCTGATCGCTATACTGTGCTCCTTTTTGACAGTGTCCATCAGCCTCGTTTCTAACACGGCTACTTGCAATTCCAGTCGTGGAATTGACATCGTCTTCATTGGGGCACACTTCGTCCTGGCACCTACGAAGCATATTCGCACGTCGTTGTTGTCGTAGGTGACCCTCAAGTAAGTCACGGCTGCGAATGCTGACTGGCTAGCATCGACAAAAACGTGCAGCTGTATTGCCCGCACAGGTGTTGGGCCGAAGTAATGGCGCGAGCTCCGAAATCCTTCCACGTTGTTCATATCCTGAAACCATTTGCTAAAGGCCCGGGCGATCTCATCTGGTAATGGTTCATCCCATTGCACATTTCGTCGCCAAATCTCACGCATTAGTAACTTTCCAGTTATCATGAGGCAGCTAAGAAATCCCAGAGGATCGAATGTTGACATGATCAAGCTCAAGAATTCCCTCTTCGTAGGAATTCGCTCCAAATTTAGCACACATCGGGGTACTTTGTGGTACTTCATGTTGAATTTGAAATCGTCCGTGGCTGGTTGCCAACACATGCCTAGAATCTTTTCTTCAGCTTCGCCCCATCCGATGCTCCTCGCAGTCCCATGTTGGCCCAGCGCGTCAGCTACAGTTGGCGAGCTGGAAGTAAACTGGCACAATTCGAATCCAGCATTTGCATGTATTTCTCTTATTCTTGTCGATATGGTGACGGCTTCGCCTTCACTATCAAAGCTATCCACATAGTCGTCCACATAGTGGCATTCAAGAATAGCTTTAACAGCGCGAGGGTCTGAATCCTGAAACTGCAGGGCATTCAAGGTTTTCACATAGTGTGCGGCGCTTGGCGAACATGCTGCTCCAAACGTCATTACCCTCATCTCATAAACATCAGGCTCCCGGCGATCATCGCCGTTTCGCCACAGGAATCGCTGGGCGCATCTGTCCTGCGGTCGAATCAACACTTGATGGAACATCTCTCGGATGTCTCCACAAACGCCAACGGCACCTTCCCGAAAATGGAAGAGAACAGCCGGCAGCGACTTATAGTGCTGCGGCCCCTTGGATAATGCCGAATTCAATGAAATATCACCAACCTTTGCTGCCGCGTCGAACACCAGTCTTATCTTACCGGGCTTATTTGGATTTTCAACTCCAAAGTGCGGAAGATACCAAAGTTTGTCGCTGTTGGCTAAAGCGACCTCATGCTGCTTCAATCGTCGAGCATATCCTTTGTGAACATAATCGTCCATAATTTTCATATAGGCTTGTTTAAACTGATCGTTACGCTTCATCTTTCTCTCAATGTTGACCAATCTTTTGTATGCCATATCATAGCTTCGTGGCAATTCAACATTATCACGGTTCCATAATAAACCCGTCTGGTCGCGTTCTCCTATTTTCACCGTGGTGTCTTCGAGTATCCTCTGTGCTCGTGCATCGTCGCTGGCTGCGACTGGTGGCGTAAGCTTCACCCCGAAGTTTTCGATATCAAAATAGTCGTTTACCATCTTTTGGATTGCATCCTCCTGCGACACTGCTAGGAGGCATGACTTTGATGACGTTGCCGTCGGTTGATCTCTTGCCGGCCCAAAAACCACCCATCCAAGTTCGGTGGCTGCGGCATATGGTCCCTGTGGTGCAAACCTTTTTGTTTGCATTGGCAGTCCAAGATGCGCATGGTCAAGTCCAATCAGAAGTTTTGGTACCGCCCCGCGATACGGTTTCATTGGAAGACGTGCACCGTTGCCCCACATTTGGACGTCACGTTGATGCAGGCTTTGCATTGGTAAGCTGAGGTTGGACACGGCGTACACATTTCACAACACATGCCGTTTGCGCTTGTCCGCTCCACTAACTTCCATGCTTACCACTGTGGTCGGCTCTCTGGTTGCTCTTCCACCAAACCACTGTATATTTAGTTGCCTGCGTTCCCCTTTGATATCTAGATCGCGCAGTAGTTCGTCGTCGATCATCGTTACAGACGAGCCCTCGTCGAGGAGCGCGTACGTATCGATCCGCTTATTGGCCCCGTGCAATGTCACTGGCAATATGCGGAATAGTAGGCGTTCTCCATCCGAATCGACACAACTTAAGTTCCTTTGTTGCGTCGATTGAGCATCCGCTGGCTGCGGTGCCCTTGTGTGAGGATCCGCTGGCTGCGGCATCCGTCCAGTATTCATCACTCTATCACCTGCTGGTTGCGGTGCATTGTGACTCATAGCATCATGATAATGTAAGAGTCGATGATGTCTCTTCCGGCATCCATTAACTTGGCATTCGTTGGCCCTATTGCAGACTCTTGCCATGTGGCCAACTCGTAAACACGAAAAACAAAGCCGGTGCCTTTTTACGACTGTCCACCTCTTTAGCGGAGAGGCTATGTTAAACTCGTTGCAGTCCCTGACTGCGTGTTGTCCATTACAGATTGGACACTGTTTGGTGCGACCTCGGTGACGCCCTTCATTATTCTGGTCAATGCTGGCATGCAGCACTCTACGTCTTTGCTCCTTACTATCGACGTCCACAATCGTACATACCACATTGGCGTTGTCCGTTAACCACGCGCTAAAATGTACGACCGTCGGGAAAGGCCTAATCGTAGCTGCATGTCTGGCCCATTCCACCCTCTTGCTTGGTGGTAATTTAGCGACCAAATCCTCCATCAGTGTAGGATTCGCTAAATGCTGTTCCCCGTTAGCCGATTGTAGAAAGGCGGCAAGGTTACTTACGCGTGTAGCATATGGCACGATTTTAGCTATGCTGTGCTCCTGAATTGGCTGCACCTCTCGAATACTAATTAGCTGGCTGCGTATTAGCTGTTCTGGGCGGCCGTATCTAAAACGTAATTGTTCAATTACGTTGTTCACATTCCTGGGATGTATGAGCAACGACTTCACAGTGTCACGTGCTTCGCCTTTGAGTGCCTTCAACAATCGCTGGTTAGATTTGTACAGTTGTACGCCAAAGTTGTTTCCGTAAACGCGCAGAAGAATATAGGCCAATCCTCAGGTTGACCTCCAAACTCGGGTAGATCTGGTAATTTTCGTGGCAGGCATACATCGTTCCTGGGAGTCGTCCATGCGAAGTTCCCAGTTGCCTGCGTTGGCTCCAAAATTATCGTTTGTTGGTTCTCCTGTGCCGGAGTGTAGCTGAGCGTTGGCTGTGCAATGCCTGCAAAGCAATATGGCGTCGAGCGGCTTGACGTTGTAGAGCAGTTATCCATAACTGTAGCCCGTTCTACCGTTTGCAACTGTGTTCCCAAATTTCCACTCAATGACGTAGGCAGTGCCTCACTCAAAGATGGCGATCTGCTCAAAATGGTAGTTCCACTCAAAATTGCAGTTTCACTCAAACTTACTTTTGAATTTGGGACTACACTCATAGTTGCAGTTTCACTCAAACTTCCATTCGACGATGGCTCTCCGCTCTCCGCTCCGATCAAAGATGGCGGCAGGTTAGCTGTACCACTCATGCCAGCACTACTCAACTTAACGGGATCAGTAACTGTACTTACATGTGCTTGACCAGTTTTTGACCTCTGCAACTCGTGCTCTAGCACAGCGACTCTCTTTATCAAATCTATGACTTGCGTACTTGAGAGTTGCGTGCTTGGGCTTGGCGCTCCTGTCAATGTGCTGGCTCGTGCACTCACTCCCGCGGCCACAGTGCCGGCAGGTTGTACACTTGTGCCCACATCCACGGTGCTGGGGCTTTGTGGCGCGCTAACAGCGGGAACTTGCATTTGTGATACAGTGCTCACCATTCTACTTGTCCGCTTTGTCTGCGTCCCACTCGCCGTGGTAGCTATCTCCTGGCCATCGTTTAAGCGTGGGCTTTTCCTAGGTGACCGTTGTGTCATCCTACTCAGCTCGGAGATGGTTTCTGCTATATTTTACGCTGGCTGCGTACTAATGGTGACTCTATAACTGGGTGGAGGCCCTGCCTGTGCTGTGTCTATGTACACACACTGTAACACCAATGTTACACCACGTCTTGTCTTCAGCGCAAGTCGCCCTTGCAGTTTCTTACAATAAGAACTGCGAATAAAAGATCATGTCGCGTGCCAAATGAAGGTGGAGTTGCAATTTGAACACTGCAAGTTTACGCCTGGCCCCCGGCCATGTTACTCCGATGTTACTAGAGACAGCGTAATGCAAAACGTGCTAGTGCAAGTGTTTTATTCTAAACGGATTACATAGGTTAGAACTTAGATATATATTCCCTCGGAATCTTACCGCAGTCTTTCCTCCTACGGCTTTCGAACTCACGACAATAATGAGCTTAACATTTAAGTAATGGCGGCAACAAGCCAAATACAGTGTGCCCGTACATTCGGAGGGCAAATATACATACTTTCAGAATATACTTAATACTAAACAATCGATAAATTAATTCGTCCCGCAACAATAACATACAACAATTTAACTTTCGACCGATCGATCCTATGGAAGCTTTATGATATAGTGTTCCGATCTAAAGTGGATTTTATATAAATATGAAGTGGATAATTAAACTACTAAATGCCGACTTTGGTCAAGATATCTTGATAAACAGATATGTTTTTTTATTCAACATATTAATTTTTGACCGTCAGTTCCTCTGGTAGCTATTTAAAATGGTGGACCGATCTTAAGAGGATTTTGATAAATAAATTCCGCATTTAGTCAAGATATCTTGATAAACAAATATGTTTTTTAATCAACATATTAATTTTCGACCGTTAGTTCTTCTGGTAGCTATTTCAAATAGTGGTGCGGTCTTAATAGGATTTTATATATATATGAGACAGTTTTATAATTTTGTAAACGTGAAGCGTAAATCTTCTAGTTTGCCATTTTCTTTTTTTCTTGGGATGGATAAAGCTAGCAATGACACTGATTCTGCTTACCTCTTTGCTAATTTTTTCCAATCAACTTACTCTTACGTGAAGTGTCGGGAAAAGGTTGATCTCGCCCTTGGGAGTTCGCCAAGTTGGGTCTGGAGTCGTCTACGGTGTATTACGCAGACCTTGCAGGAGTTTATGGTAGATTTTAACAGGACCTTGAGCTTTGGGATCCAGTATTTGGCTCTTATGAGGCGCATTACCAACTGATTGCCTCAGTGAAAACAAATAAGGTGGGTAAATCGGACCAGGAGGCGTGAGAAATCACAATTGGCCGGAATGATTATGGGGTGTCGCTCATCATAGCCTAACGAGGTTGACGCTCTCACCCGTCCACAGGATCGCAGAATACCCCTTTGATCGATGAAAGGGGTTAAATTGCGAATGCTGCTTGATCCTTGAATTGGCTGCTTATCGAGCAAACAGCTTTACTCCTTAGGATAAGCTTGGCGTTGAGTATACTCGATAAGTCGGAACTGAACTCTCGTAAGTTCTTCATTACGGAGCTCGGCGGGAAAGTGGATCGCTGGATTTCTACAGCGCTGGATAAAGCGACATATGCAATAACTCGCAATGCCTTTTCGAATCTGGAGAATCGTTCCAGAAGGTTATAGGAGGGTAGCTGTGAGACATTGCACTTTACTGCGCGTTGTTCAATCTCTGTCTCAAGTACCGTAACAGGAACTGGCCATTGGTTTTGTGGTAGTTGTAACCATTCCGGTCCATGCCACCACAAAGTGCTGCCCAATAGGTCCCGAGGGGAAACCCCCCGACTAGCTAGGTCAGCTGGGTTATGTTCGGATCGAACATGGGACCATTTGCCATTGGTTGATGATATCTTGGCTACCCGGTTAGCCACAAAGGTGGACCATTTGCATGGAGATTTATCCAACCAGGCAAGAACAATAGTGCAGTCTGTCCAATTGAAATTTTCATTACACTTCCTTTGTGTTGGATATCCACTTTCTCAGAGGGAACCCAGCTCTGTCGAGTGCCATGCGAAGTTCTGCAATGGCTGAAATTGCTTGTGGCTTCGTGTGTGCCCCTGCTAGAACTTCATCGACATACATCTAATTTTCAATTATATCGGATGCGATGGGACAATGTTCTCGTATATCACGAGCAAGTTGACGGAGGACCCGGATTGCGAGGTATGGGGCACAGTTTACCCCAATGGTAACTGTAGTAGTTCGAAGTCGCAAAGTTCTTCGTTCTTATTGCGAAATAGTATTCGTTGGCGTATGTCTTGAATCGTCCTGGATTTGCCGATACATCTTAGTTATATCGGCATTGAAAACGTAGCGGTAGAATCGCCACTTTAGTCTGATCTGATCTGAATCGTCAGATCGGATTGGAGTACTGGTCCCGTGTGTAGGATATCATGTGACGTTTGCCATTGGAAGACGGGCTGGAGGCGTTAAACACAACGCGAACCTTTGTTGGGGTGCTGTCGGGCTTAAAAACAGCATGATGCGGCAGGTAAAAATTATTGGGGTTGCTGTTTGGAGAAACTTGTGTCATATGACCTAAGTCGAAGTACTCCCGAATCACGGAGTCGTACTGCTCTTTCAAAGGAGGGTTTCTTTTTAAACGATTCTCGTTCTTTAGAAACTGAGCTAGTGCGATAGATCTTGAATGTCCTGTCTATGTGATTAGGTTCTTGGAAAGGTAGGGTGACTACATATCTGCCATTCTCGTTCCTTGTTGTTGTTCGGATGAAATTACTCTCACAAAAAGAGTCGGAGCTCTTTACCAGTTTGACTGGAATGTCCTCAACCTCCCAAAACTTTGTGAGAATGACGTCTAATTGCTCTTCTTGAGAGACAGATATTCGAGTCGAGAATGACGAGGTTGCGGTGGATGCGGTCTTTGAAACTGGGCCTGTTAAAATCCACCCGAAAATAGTTTCCTGGCCCAGCAACGTGCCACATATATTAGGATGGGAGCCGCCCGTTAGTATGGACGGTAGGATATCAGCGCCAATCAGCACATCTGTCTGCGAACTCTTGTGGAAATTAGGGTCCGCTAACTGGAGTTTTGGCAGGGTTGTCAATAAAATTTGGGGGATCGAACATGATGGTAGATTCCCTGCCAAATGTAGTAGGACGTAGGCGATGCCTCGATTTGGATACGAGGCTTAGAAGGAGAGCCAATATTAAAATGCCAGAGCTTGCGAGGCTGGGCTGCAACAGCTTTATTTAATCCCGATACTTGTGCCTGTACGGATTTGTACGGCAGCTTTATCAGGAGGAAGAGTCGCTCGGAAATAAATGTTGCCTCTGATCCCGAGTCGATCAGTGCACGAGCTGTATAATTTACACCCAAATGGCGAACATATATAACAGCCGTACTTAGGAGAACACCGTGGGTGTTAATTGCAACATAATTGTGAACATTCGTTTGTTGGGATGGAGTGGACTGTATGAATTGATTGGAGGGAGCTGTTGCTTGTGGCATGGAGACTACTGTAGGGCTCAATTGTGGAGTGTCACAACGATGCAAGAGCGTATTGTGACGACCCTTGCACGTAAAACAATTGTGAGCACTTGTGCAATCCCTTAACTGATGACCCCTAGCGAAACAGTTCAAACATAGTTTTTGCTGTTTGATGTAAGTTGCCCGTTCGCTGACGGGCATTTGGAGAAATCGTGGGCACAGACGGATGGGTGATTCTCCCTGGAGCACAATTTGCAGGCTTGCGGCTTGTTAGCGACCTTATTCTCAAATGGGTTAAGCCTTCTAGTGGTAGGAGGTTCTGTTCGAACAATTCTGGAGTGCGCTCAAGTATTTGCGCTTGGCTTAAGCTCTTCTATCGCTTCTAGAGCGCGATAGCGTTCTAAGAGAAAGGCGTTCATCTCAAGCCAAGATGAGATGTCGTTTTTTCTGGAGATGGACTGTTCTCATAAGGAGAGTGTTAATTTGGGTAATTTGAAGGAACATAGGAACACGAGGATACAGTCCCAGTTTTCTATGTTGATTTCGGATAACTCCAGAGCTGTTAAGCAACCTTGAATGGTGCTCTGAAGTTCCTTAATTGCCGTTCCAGATTCTTGGGAGATTGGCTGCAGGTTGAAAAGAAACTTGAGCTGGCTGTTGACTAACAATTTTCGGTTCTCAAAACGCTCAGTCAGATAGGCCCAGGCTGATCGGAAGCCATCGTTAGTCAAAGGTGACTTCGATACAATCGCCTGAGCCTCACCGCTGGTTTTCGCATTGAGATGGAATAATTTCTCGACCTCTGATAACCTAGGATTATTTATGTAAATTGCGGTAAAGAGGTCTCGAAATGTGGGCCAACGTATGTAATCTCCGCTGAAGATTTCTGTGTCGCAAGGAGGTAAGCGACACCCTGTGGGAACATATGTCGGAATGGTGGACTGAGCGGATGGTCTATTTTGGGCGTTAGCGGTATCGATTTGCTCGCTAAGTTTAGCGGCGCATCTCTCATATACCATGTAACAATAGTCGTACTTGGACTGCATAACTGAAATGGTTTCCAGTGAACCGGCTTCCGAGATTATTGTTGAGCCGACCTCGTACTCTTTTTCAACCTTGTCCCACAAGGCTCGCACTTGGTCCCGACGGACCTGGCACGTCATATTTTGGGCCGTTTTGGTATTAGCTCGCGTGGAAATCGGACTAGATCTTGTGCTAATGGTTGCCTTAGTGCGTCCGACTGCAGTGGTCAGGGATGCTTCGCTTTTAGCTTTGGACGGCGGGCGACTGGTTCTTATCAGTGGACTTGGCCTCGAACTAAGAGGTGCCTTAACAGTTCCCCTTGGCGTGGATGCGGATGATTCGCTTTTAGTCCGGAACGATGTTTCCCTTTCGACTCTAAGGGCTGCTGTTGGAGACGGAGAAGTTCTGGAGATGCTTGCGGACGGAACTGCTAATTGATGCTTTGTTTCTTCCCCTTTCCTAGTTGGCATACTAGGCGGAAGCGCTTGGGTAGGAAAACAAAGGTGCTCGTTTCTAGTAGTAGAGGTTGTGATGCTTAAAACAAAGAAACACTGGAATGCCGGTACAGGTAAATAATCGAGTTTATAATTCGATTGAGATTGCGAAAGATTTAAATAATTTTGCTTAAAATCAAAATTTATTTGATTTAATAAATTTAATTAATAAATTTATTTGACTTGGTAATTAAAAAAAAACAATATTATTTATTAAACGCGGGAAATAATAATAAAGAATATTAGCCTTTGAATACGGTAACGGTTGGTTTATTTTTACTTTTTTGTGGTACTCATAAAATACCCACTATTGTGGCTGACTACACACCGCTGACAAATGTAGAACTTCGAAGTTAATGTGTAGTGTTTTTGTTTATTTACAATAAATTAGTATTGTTATTAATCTATTAATTATGATTGTTGTGTTTTTATTTGG